CAGAAGCAGTGCCGCTGTGCACCTTTTCTGCAAAGAGAGTGGTGCAGGCCTGTTTCAGGTATCCCAAAAGAGATACTGACAGACCAGCTCACGTCGTTCATGTCTTGCACACTAAAAGAGCTGGACGAATGATTGGGTGTTAAATCAGCGTCTACCATCATCAGACTGATGGGCTGATGAATAAGACTTGAATAAGACCCTGATTCAGATGTTCGGATGTTGCTGCATTGCAACAGAGTTTTGCAGATGTGTTCTCCGCCTTTACGATGCTCATAGAGCACCATTTTGAAACGCAGCCTGGCGTCACCGGGAATTCACAGCCCTTCAGGTTGCCTGAACATAAGCAACATTTCAGCCAATTCAGAAAGAATTGGCTGAAATGCTGAAAATGGGAGTGATAGAAGAGTCACACAGCACTTAGTGTAGCCCCATAGTTCTGGTATGAAGAAAGAGGGGTCTATACAGTTCTGTGTCACTACCACAGGGTGAAAAAAGTGTCACGGTTTGATGCCTACCCCATGCCCTGGGTCGATGAGCTCCTGGACCGATTAGGTAATGCTTTTGACTTTTCACAACACTTGATTTAACCAACCAGAGTCGAAGGAAAACACTGTCTTCTCCACTCCGTATGGTTTGTTCCAATTTGTCACACTTGTGTTCGGCTTGTTCAGAGCCCCGGCCACTTTCCAGTGCCTCATGGAGCTAGAGAGTCTCAATGCCCGGTGGTATCTAGTTGTAAAGCCAGACACCCCCGGGTTCGGCTCGATGCAGCTCTGACGTCAGTGGTGCAGTGGGCTGCAGTGCCAAGGAGGCTGAGGGGTAGGTAGAGGGGATTCAATTAATTAATGCTCCTCTTTTTGTAGTGACACTGAGGACCACTGTGTGTGTGCAGAGACAGAGCACTCAAGGTGCTGACCAGGAGAGAGAGATATGGTCAGAAGTTTTCATGCAGTCATCATTGGCATGAATATCATAGCATTAGATCTGTTAATTATTTATTTGAACTGTTCTTTTTGTTTGGATGGAATGGTACAGCGTGCATCTTTAATGAGTTAGTTTACATACAGGCTCATATAAACACCTAATATTTGGTTAAATGTCCCTTAGTTCAACCAGATGTTTTTGGTAGTCATCAAGAAGCTTCTGGCATAATTCTGGATGTTTCAATATTTGATGACTCTTCATGGGAGAATTGGAAGTTTCAGTTTATTTCAGTGGACTAGCTCATGAAGTTTGTTGGTTGGTTTCCTAGCACTGGTTTGGCTTTTAAGAATGGTCCACAAATTTTCACCAGGGCTGAGCTCAGGGCTTTCCAGGTATTCCATAAGCCCAATGTTAGTCTGTTTGAGCCATTCATTGTCCTGTTGGAACTCCCAGCTGTGTCCGAGTTCCCACCAGCTAGCTGTTGATTAATGCTGATGCTCCCTCCCTTTCGTGCTGCAGATCGATCCCTCGAGCACCTGGGCTATGGGACATTTTCTCCCAGCAGGTGAGGGGGTTTTCACCCAGAAACTGTCATAATGGGAAACACAGTACAGTCACAGACAATCCAGTGGGTAGTTGACTTCCTTTGCTATTAACTCCTCGGATGCTCACTCATCATGCCCACACTGGTGATGGGGTTTGTGGCAAGGTGTGGTGGTGCAGGTGGTTCCAAGGCATTGCCAGAGGAGACTGGTTGAGCTGGTAAAAACTGGCAGCTTCAAATTTTAATCAATCAAGAATGTGTCGATGTCTTTTGGAGCAGGATCTTCTTCCTTGGTTGGTACCCTCTCAGTCTATGGGAATCTAAAACCTGCTTCCCTACACAATGACACTGGTGGTCCAGCAGCTTCCAGTTAATAGCAGTGTTTTTTTTCCTGGATTGTTCCGAACCATCCAAACATTTCTTCACATCTTATGGTGGCAGTCTGGGTCTTCATCCAGACCCAGCAAAGTGGTGACAATAACTACTACAGTTTTTTATTTTAATTTTGGAATTATGGTCTTGGAATCTCCAGTTGTTTAGAAATGGCTCCAAGAGGTCTTCTTAGCTTGTGCAAATCTACA